TCAAACATTTTCCCATCTCTCCATATCACCTCTTGAAGGTTATGAATCCTGACGGAGTGAAAAAGCTGCATCACTGTGTGGATCGGGTGTGCTTCTATCTCCCGGGGAACAAGAAAGCATTCATAGTGGAGCAAAGAAGCTTCCACCATGAGACAATGCTGAGTAAGGGAGCCAGGGTCACATCCGTAGGATGCTATAGGAAAAGGGGAAGGAGCAAGCTCTTTGCTTCAGAGAGAAGGAAAGGAATAAGCTACAACAGCAAAGCCATGTTGCTTCGACTGGGGCAGGAAGTTCAAACACAAGGAGGAAGGGTAATTAATTGCTACAGCAGAGCTCTGAGAGTTTACAATAAAGTCTCAGATAGGTAGAAATAAAAGCTTGTCCTGAATTCTCCCATTCTGAAAGAAGGTAGCATTGAGCATAACCTCGGAAAGAGTAGTCTGATGGAAATGAGCACTGCTGCATGTTTTTCTGGCCGAGGAAATGGTGTGCAGTACACCAGGGCTTGGCGCGTGGCAGAAGGTCAGAGCTGATTCTGAGAACCCAGTAACAAAAGAGTCATCATGGACACAGGTGCTTCCGGATTGATCTTGCAATTTGGCTGTTTCCAATTAAATGTGAAGCAGCTGTGGCCCTTTATCTGCTCAAGTCACTGGAATCCATCTGACGGGAAACATTCTCCCATCTCCTCTCTCCCCACCCCAAGCACGCAGCCCTGCTTTCTGAAGACAGCAGCAGGGACGGCCAATTGGCAGAAGCCCCACCAAAAAAAAGTTGCCTCTCTTATCTCAGGGCAAAGCAATGAGATACTGATTCAGCCATGCATTTTCCAATGCCTTTATTTGGGGACAAGGAGGACAGCCAGCAAAATAAGAAGCAAACACAAATGCTGTTGAAGGTTGTCAGGCAAACAGATTCGGGATGCTTTCCCTCAGGCAACAAAACTAACAAATGAAGCCAACGTAAGGATAAGTTCTCAAGTGTTTATGGCATTGTTCTGCATCCTGAATACAACACGGTTTCTTTTACGGAAAGGGATTGAGCTTTAAAGAAGGTATTTTCAATAGTCAGCTGGCGAGATTCTAGAAGAGGCTCAAGAAGGTCAGCACTGGACCACCTGGCAGATCAATGGGAGCTAGAGGATTTCAGAAATCCAGTGGGTGAGAGCTCCCAAACAGCTCCACACCAGCTAAATGTACTGCATATGAACTTTTCTTTGTCAGTTCATTGATTCTGAAGCCATCAAACCCTTCCATGTCTTGGCCATCTCTTCTAGACTGCCAAGTTCTCAGTTTACTTAGTTTACTTCAGTACCTTAAGAAAGGGAGAACTTGGCTCAAATTCATGTTTGTCAATAGATAACAGAAATGTGAGACTCTAGGTATTCATTTTGGTCAGCTTAAAGAGCAGCCATTTCACAACCCATGCTTAGCATTTTGGACAGAGGAAATCAACAATCTTCTGGCTTTACCCAGCCTGTATGTAACTGAAA